CAAAGACAGAAATCCGCGAGTACTTGTACAACACCGAATCAAACAAGCATCGTGTTTACACTCAAAGCGACGGTTATTAAAGTGAATTAAAGTGAAACTGACCGTCATGATGTTCAATCCAGCCGCAGCACAAACACAAACACAATCACTGATTCAATACACCGCATCTGAGGAGCTTTAGGTTTCCCTAAAGCTGACGATCGTCATGTTTGATCGCACTTTTAATCACTGAATCGATAGATCGGAGCGTAACTTTGGCGGAACTCGCGCTGCTGTCGCTGTTGCCGGGGCGGAGCCCGATTAGAGTTCAGCGGAAGCGAGCGGCCAATCAGAGCCGCCCAGCGCAGCACAGCAACCAATCGGAACCGCTCTAGGTAGCGCGGTAGCCAATCAGAACAACCTAGAGCAGCACAGCAACCAATTAGAACCGCACAGCGCAGCTCAGCAACCAATCAGAACCGCGCCATTCAATCGGCTCATAGCTCATAGTAAACCCCTTCTAAAATCTGAGGAAAAACTCAGTACGTTAGCTCTAAACTCTCACTGTAATATAAAGGCTAAAACTTAGTCCCAGACTTAATTTAATCTTAATTTATCTGAATTTAAAGGCTAAACAAGATTGTTTTTCATGCCCCACTGGCAGATATTTTTAAGCAAACACTATATCTATTGTCTTTATAAAGACAAGACATAATATCTTAAATGCATCCTGATTCAATAACTTTTACGTGTTTATACTAGAAAACAAGGCAAAAAACCTAAGAAAATCTTTTTTTTTTGCAATGTATACAGTAATTTTTTATTAGTTTTAAGCAAAAACTAAAAGCAAGACATAATATCTTAAGTCATTTTTGCTAGTCAAGTAAATGCATCCCGATTCAAGAATGTTTAGATATTTATGCTAGAAAACAAGGCAAAAATCCTAAGAAAATAATTTTTTGCAGTGCACACAGGAGATATATATTTTCTGCTTGTTTTAAGCAAAAACTAAAAACAAGACATAATATCTTAAAGGGGTCATATGATGCGATTTCAAGTTTTCCTTTCTCTTTGGAGTGTTACAAGCTGATTGTGCATAGATAAGATCCCTGAAGTTGCAAAGACTAAAGTCTCAAATCCAAAGAGATATTATGTATATTTTATCAGGAAATTAAATCCATAAATGCCGTTTCGACACTCTTTGATGTGGCGTGACAGACCGGCGGAAGCGGAAGCGCGGATCATATCAACAGCTAAAGTGTGGCCCAGATTAGTTTGTGTTTGCCGGCCCAAAACTGGTCCACATCTTTTTAGCCAGAACTGAACCTAAACAGTGCCATAACCCAACCCAGAGTGAGCCAAATAATAAAAACAGATGTGGCTGATATATGGACCTTATATGGTATTCTTATATGGCTGAGTTCTGTAAAGGGCTGACAGCCCTTATGTGGCCCACACGTGGCTGATAAACCAAATGCCATTAATTATAATTGAGTTTATTTAAAGGCAGAGCCATAAATTGTTCAGTAAACCACTGTTTATTTAAAAAAAAAAAAAGCAATTAAATGTTTTCTCCCCCTGCTGTACCAAAAATGTATGAAACGGTGACTTCAAAACTGAGGTACAATTACACTCATGTTTTCATTAATATTATGTATATTATTAAGTATTATGTCTAAAAATAGCCTGTTATTAAAGTAGCTAAAATTTTCCTAATTTAAAAAGGCACTCATGTCTTGGGTGATAGAAAAGAATGTGTGCAGTGCTGATTTACACTCATTTATGTGCTTGTCTTGAAATAATATCTAATGTGTGATACTAATTATGATATACTAATGTTCTTTTTTCTCTTCTTTTTCCTGACAGGCTGTGAGTGAGAAAAACTGGTGAGACTTACTAAAAGTATACATTTGTGTACATTTATTCACTCATCTGACATTTGCAAACATACACAAAATAATGATCTTTAAAAAAGCATCATATGACCCTTTAAGTCATTCTACTAGTCAAGTAAATGCATCCCGATTCAAGAATTTTTAGATATTTAAACTAGAAAACAAGACGAAAATCCTAAGGAAGGAAATCATTTGTTTCAGTGTACACAGGAGATGTTGTAGGCAGAACGATCACTATTCAGTTCACTTCATTTTTGTGTTCTATGGAAGATGGTCAGTCATACAGGTTTGGTACAACAATGGTGAGTAAATGATGACAGAGTTATTAATTAGTGGGTGAGTGATCTCTTGAATCGTGAGTGAGTGTCAAGCGTTTATGACGTGCCTGTTGCATTGGTTCTTCATCGGTCTGCTCCACGCTGCAGGAGAAATACACCGACGGTCTGTGCGTTTTCTGCAGAACAAACACACACGTGGTGAGTGGCGTTGGAACTACAGCGCCTCCGCAGGCAGACGGAGGTATTACTGTACCTGGTTCTGTCCCGACGCTCTGGACGGGTTTCTGCCAGACTCCGTCTGATCCGCGGCCGGACTGCTCGCTCTCTGCCACAAACACAGGTGAAATACATGACACGAGCGGCTGACGCACAGGTTAACGCTCTCGGACCTCGGCAGACATGTGTGCAAACACGAGAAACAGTGTGTGTTTGGATAACTATAACGATCTCTAATGGTTACAATAATGCAAACTGTGATATGATAACTATATCGATTACTATAATGATAACTTTAATAACTGATAACTAATTGAACGATTACGTAATTGTAATCGCGCTTAAAATACAATTAATTGTGCAGCCTTAGTGTAGAATTTCTTGTTGTCGCAGACTTAATAGGATAATAGGCTTATCCTTAGCCTATTATATTCAATATTTTCACGTGAATGTTACAGGACGTGTATGTGTTTATTTACCTGTGTGTGTAGGGAGCTGGACGAGTGTGCCCTTGATAGTGTACCACTGTCTCTGTCATCCTCCAGTTCATCCCATTCCGAAGGAGCTTTGCTCTGGGAGTGACTAGAAACACACAAACACAGCTTCAGCTAACCTGGGTCTGACCCTCATCTGAAGATATGAATACCCCCGTATGAAATCTGGCATCATTCACAGCAGGGTCAGAAATTAACTTTTCCATTAAGGGGCAATATTGGCCCCCTGGATCACCAAACCTACGAAATAAATGTTTTAGCTATTTACGTATAACTGCACTGTGTTGTTTACGAAGAGGGAATTCGTGTGCGTGTGCAATCAACACAGCTCTGGCGTTTTCCGCGCTGACTAAATTAAGCACCTCTGATTGGCCAATGTATTCCTACGTTCAACAGAAACACGTTTGATTGGTTATAAGGCTGAACTTTGCACAAAACAGTGCATAAAAGCTATTTGATGGAGTGTGAGCGAATCTAAATGTAATTCCACGAATTGATGCTTTTTAATCATTTTCAAACTGTATTTTAATCACAGCAGCCGTAATACATTTTTAATAGTGCAGGAGCATTTTTCCCCCTGTGTCTTGAAGTTATGGGACATTTTTATTCATTTTAGTGGCATTTTTGCCATAAGCCCTCGTTAATTTCCGACCCTGATGTATGCATGTTTATTTCATATTTGGTACAATTTGATATCTACCTTTGAGCTCTGTAATGAATGAATGAATTAAATTAGTTTGATCCTGAAATTAGGATAGCCTTGCTAAATACACCCTCTTTTTTGAAATTGAGTTGAACAGTGATCAGACATTTTCTGTCCACCTGGCCGGTTTGTAGCGGGAAAGCTCTCGTTTCTGTCTGCTCTCCATCTTCCTCAGGTGGCTCGGACCCTCCCTCTGGAAGACCGTTTTGACCTTGGGAAGGTCAGCCATCATGGCATACTCCTCCCGGTTGAGACCCGACGACCCGGCCGAGAGGTGACTCGACTCGGACTCCATGGAGCTCTGAGAAGACGTGTGTCTTTGGACCGGAGGCGAGGGGCTTCTGTGTCGACTTTGTGCTCGTCGGTTGTCAGACGTGGAGCTCTGTGCTTCTAGGTTCTGCCTCACGCTGCTCCTCTTGCTTCCGTCTCGTGGTGTTTCCCAGGCGGATTTCGTAAAGGAACCAGTTGGTTTCTTCTCACTACTGTGGCGTGAGGGGGAGGAGTTTCGTGAGACTGACTGGCTGTGGAGAGAGTGGGCGGAGCCTCTCCAGCCTCCTGATGAATCGTGCTGTGAATGGCTAGTCGTGGTGTTTCTTACGTAAGAGGCGGAGCCACTCACAGTGTTCCTCAGAGGGGCGTGGCCTGCAATCTCACGCCTCAATGTAGACAAAGAGGGGCTCCGCCCACTCTCTGACTTGCGAGGAGGAGATTGGCTATGAGCTAAGGGGGAAGGACTGCGGCTTTCAGAGCCACGGTTTTTCGAGGACTGGCTTGTTTCGGACTTACGAAGCGATGATGGGCCAGGGATTTGGTGATGACCTCTACTTGGGGAACTGTGTCGGCTCTCTCGGTTGTAGCTGTGAAGGGAGCTTTTTGCTTCTGGTTTCTTCATTGTGGCTTGGATTTGCGTCTCATAGGTTTTTCTGGATGGGGAGGGGCTTTTTCTCTCACGACTCAACCCATTAGACATTGATCTTCGATCTGATTGGCTTGGTGTTCCATAGCCCTTTCTGACTGGAGACGCACTTCGTCGACTCTCTTTAATTTGACTTGATATGACATTGGTCTCTATCCTCCCCACAGGGGACTGGCTTCGGGAATCATAGCGGCTCTTCAAGGAGGAAGAGGAGGAGAATCCCTGTCTGTCAGGACCGCGCTCATATGAAGGGCTTTTCGTTTCGGTTTTCCTATCATAACTCCGTCTGGAAGGGGACTGGCTTCGGGAATCATAGTGGCTCTTCAAGGAGGAAGAGGAGGAGATTCCCGGTCTGTCAGGACCGCGCTCATATGAAAGACTTTTCGTTTCGGTTTTCCTATCATAACTCCTTCTGGAAGGGGACTGGCTTCTTGAATCATAGCGTCCCACTGAGGAGAAGGAACTCTGTCTGTCGTGACCAGGGCTTTTCGTTTCGGTTTTCCTCACAGCAGGACCTTCATAACTCCGTCTGGAAGGGGACGAGCTTCCACGGTTCTCTGGGAAGGAGCTGTCGGTCTCGGGTTTCCGTAAAGTGCCTCTCAGATCCATGTGAGAGAGAGACTTATTGATGCTACTGACGGTCCCTGCGTTGCCTGCAAACGATCGGAGGTTTCCGGAGTAGCTGTTCCGTGCCGGATTGACCGATGCCCGATCTGGTCCGTGCGAAACTCCGCCCGACCGAAAGCCAACCGTGTTTAGAGAGGAGCTGGACTCGGCCCGTTTGAACGGGGAAGGAGAGGAGGAACGGGAGAGGACAG